CCACTAGAAGAGCCTTTTAAGGGCCATATGAAATACTTTTCTGAATATTTATTGATAATGACCCTAATCATACTTTTTATTAAACAGAGGTTTAGAGGGTAGGAAAACCCATCACCCAGGATGCAAAAATCTACACCACCTTGTTTTTACTAGTGTCTGGGAAACCTTGGAAAACGGGTTCCCTAGCGCCTCCAACTCACTATGGTCACAGGGGTGATAGATTTGCGAGAGCAGGTGCTCTCGCTCTCTCCTCTCTCTCACTCTCTCTTATAATTGTGAGACCCTCATCCAGAAAGAAACCAGTGAGTGTGCTCTCCATTATTATCTCAGAGATTATAGCCCTTATGGTCCTTGTAATTAAGTTGTTCTCCTCTGAGGAAGGAATTTCTTCCAGACTCCTTGGTGTTTTACAATTACTTATGTTGACTTTGCTCCGGGCACCACCTCTAGCTATTAAGACGAGGTCACCGCCAGGTAAACCCTGCGCTTCTCTTCTCATCCAGCAGGGAGGACTCCAGGGACAGTGTGAACTGTGGCCAGAAGCTGTCTCTGTATGTTTCCTGTTAGTTTTTACCAAAAGCAGTGCTCCTCAAGGGAATCCCTAGACAAAGCTCTTGATGATTTGATTTGGCTATTTCCAAAGCCAAACCTTTCTCACAGCACCAGACTTTTCTACCTTGGGAATTCTTTTAAAGAGTGGCACTCCTTCTAAAGTTAATTTCAAAAGAGAAGTTATCAAAATTGGGGGAGCATTGGTAGTAGTGCTCGGATGGATGTATTTCATCCCAGGGAGTAAGTTTAAGGGCACGAAATTTATTTGGGAATGTAGCTTCATTTCAATTGTGTCATACTATAGGAACATTTCCGATCACACCTACATGAGACTGCTTTCCGTAGGTGTGATTTTTTCTCGTTTCCAAGCTGTGAGGGTAAATGGCTTTTTCCACCTGAGCACATGAGTGTGCTGGCCTAAAGCCCCTTGCACACTTACCCTAGGAAATTTCTCCATGCGCTCAGGTGTTTTAGTCAATAGCATGTGGCTAATATTTCTAAACCGTGTTACCAGGTTGTTATGGTTTAGAAATGCATTTCTTCAAGGATGTCATCTTGTGGGGCGCCTGGGTGGTTCAGTCGATTAAGTGTCCGACTTTGGCTCAGGTCATGATCTCACCATTTGTGAGTTGGAGCCCCGTGTCAGGCTCTGTGCTGACAGCTGGAGCCTGCTTTGGATTCTGTGTCTCTTCTCCCCCCACCCCCCATACACATCTCTCTCTCTCTCTCTCTCTCTCTCTCTCTCTCTCAAATAAATAAACATAAAAAATTTTTAAAAGATGTCCTCTTAAAGCCATGTCCTATATTTTAGTATTTAGATGCTATTCAAGCTTCTTAACTCATCAGACAAATGTTATTCAGTCATTGCTTTTATTCTCTTATTTGCCTCAAATAGCTGCCTGCCCCTTGCTCACCAAATCAGTGTCCTCTCCCGTGTTCCTGTTCTTCTGCGTCCTGGCCCTGTTTCATCTGCCTTCCTTTGAAACATGCTTACCGGCTTTGCCTCTCGTGACATTGTTTTTGCCCAGGACCTCGTTGGTCACCACAACCAGGAACGTCTGCACCATGTGTCATTAGGTCCACCAGTCTGATGGCAATCCCAGGAAAACAAAAGTGATAAACGAGGCCGAGGAGGGAAACAGACAGCTGATCCCAAGTCGCCAGGGCTCCCTGTGGGAAGCCACGAAGCAGGGACTCCCTCTCCCCATTCCTGACAGCGTCGGCCCGGCTGCCCGGCTTTCCGGGCAAATATTCCTCCTGACCCAGAGTTAGGGGTCTCGCCGACAATTCCAGAAACTTGGCAGGTCTAAATGCATCTTCACGGGGACTGCCCATAGAGCATGGGCCTGCTTTACAAGACGTTGTGTTGCTCGGTGACACTGCTTACTCATGGTTTGAAGTCAAGATTCCTTAGACTGTCCAGGTTGTCAAGTTTCTTTTTTAACTGGCTGTAAGCATAGCTGGGTTTTGTTTTGCGTTGTTTTGCGGGCACAGCCTAATCCCCAAATAATGAGGATGAAGTAAGTTTCCAAGTTTGGAGAACTTTCCCCCTATTTCACCCCTGTCCCCATCCCCAATCTGTTTATGGAAGATAAAGTAGAAAGGGATGAGGAAGTATATAGAGGCCAATGCCACAGTCTGGCCCAGGAGTGCCTTATTTTCAGAGATCCAAGCTTCCCGAAAAGAACAGTGTCAGAATTGTTAACATGCTATTATTCTGTACACGTAATGATAGGTCTCCACTATAATGTCAAGGCAAAATATTTCACACGAGAGGATCGCAGAGAGGCCTTCAGGAACAAAGTCCTCATTCGTACATGGAACATAGCAGCAGCTACTTAACGATTTATTGAGTTAGAGAACGAATTAACACGTGGATCTTGAATACTGTTGGTTAATGGGTGTTGGAAATAATGTACATATTGCCTAAATTCCTATTTTAGTATTGTTTTTTTTTTAATGTTTTATTTATTTCTAGGAGAGAGAGAGAGACAGCGTGAGCAGGAGAGGGTCAGAGAGAGAGGGAGTCACAGACTGAAACAGGCTCCAGGCTCTGAGCTGGCAGTCAGCACAGAACCCGACGCGGGGCTCGAACCCACGAACCGGGAGATCATGACCTAAGCGAAAGTCGGACGCTTAACAGACTAAGCCACCCAGGCGCCCCTAGTATTGTTTTTACTACACTTTGAAAATCCATTCTCTCCTTAAACACGTACATAAAATAGATAGAAGTGCACTCCAGAATTACACACGAGGCCTTGGTGTATAAGTGTATACACACAAACATAAATGTACAAATCATAACTAGTATTTTCTAAATCTGACCCATCTGAAACTTCTATGTAAACTATTATGCACATGAAATATCTAATCCATAAGAGCTTTGAAAAATGTTATGTATTGCTCATGTCTCATTAAAAAACAAAAAAAAACTACCTACATTTTTTTTAACTTGAGATATAATGCATTAAAGTATCCATTGGAAGTGGAATAATGTTGCACTTTTCTCTTGATGAATTTCCGTAATGGGAAGCAAGAAAGGAAAGACATTTAGTATGTACCAAACTCAGCCTATTGGAAACTATTTAATCAGAGTGTCTGTTTGGCACTATTCTACTTCACATGGGTGGGTCTCCTATTTCAGAGGGGTAGGGAAAAGAAATAAAGTAGCCCTTTGGCTGGAGTCTGTTCTAAGGAGCTGAAAATGAAGACCCCAACAGAAATCATCCTTCTCAAAAGCCCATACTGTGATTGATCTAAGACAGTCTTAGGGCACAATCTGCTCCAAGTATGTAAAAAGCTTTATGTCATCTTAAGGATCTCATCATCAATAAAAACATTATTTCAATTCTTATTTCATTTCCAAATATCCTTAGGGAAGAATGTTTTAATAGTCATTAGTTTTTTTGTTGATATTGTTGTTTGGGGGCTTTTTAACATTTATTTTTGAGAGAGAGGGAGAGAGAGACAGTGAAAGCAGCGGAGGGGTAGAGAGAGAGGAAGACACAGAATCTGAAGCAGGCTCCAGACTCTGAGAGGAGCCGAAGATGGATGCTTAACCAACTGAGCCATCCAGGCACCCCTGTTTTTTTTTTTTTTTTAAATGAAGTTTTGTAACTCTACCTAATGTAAAACTGGATTTACAGTTTTATAGCATTATAAGTACAATGCACTTTTAAGGTAGAATTGAGCTTCCGTGACAGTAAAGTGGGTAACATTCTATGTGTGTTGAAATCTGTTTATATTATTTTAACCCAGTGACCTGGGTGGTAATAAACCTAGTTCTGGGGCACAGATCCTGTATCCTTAACTGGCTAAGAGTTGCTAGAGAAATTACATAATGGAGCCAAACATAAACAGAAGAGTAGAAACAAGTTCCCAAAACGTTACTGCTTTTGTCCAATTAATGCTGAAAAACAGATTTCTCTGCGTAGCCAAAGAATCATTCTTAGCCCCTTATTACTCTACAGCCATCAGAATGGAGTATAACACCCATGGATTATTTACTGAAAACCACAAAGGGAAGTATACAGTAGTCAGTCCAGGGAGGTAGGCCACCGCCTACAGTTGCCTATTGGAATTCAAATGAACTAAATTTAAGTAGGTGTTAAAATCTAATGCCGACTTTAAGTACCCAATAGACTCCTGTGTCTAGTGGCTACCCTACCACACAGTGCAGATACAAAACATTTCCACCATGAACAATACCAATCTTAAAAAGCACGTAACATTTTATTTTTTGTGTTTTAATTTTTTTCACATAAAAATGGCAAAATTTCACCAAGATCCTACAGTATTTAAAATATTTTTGAATTAGGACACCTGCGTGGCTCAGTCAGTTGAGGGTCCAGTTATTGATTTCAGCTCAGATCATGATCTCACAGTTATTGATTTCAGCTCGGATCATGATCTCACAGTTCGTGAGTTCAAGCCCCCTGTCGGGCTCCGAGCTGGCAGTGTGGAGTCGGCTTGGGATTCTCTCTCTCTCTGCCCCTCCCCGCTCTCAAAATAAATAAACTTTTAAAAAGAGAGAGATTTCCGAATTGACTGCTATAGCCTGTCAAAATATCTGGAGCTAGTATGGTAGTTCTCAGAACTTCTACAGACTCAGGGGCCACTTAAAGAATATTTGGAGACAATAATATTTAATAGCTAACGCCCCAGAGACTAGAAGTTTCGACGGATTGAAAGGAAAATTAAACATGTGCAAAGTATGTTACTGTTTTCCTGCTACCCACATCCTTCTAACATTTAAACCCCAGAGTTCTACATAACATTGTTTTAACTCATATTTGTATACTTTAGTATTTGCTTTATTAAAGTCCATCACATAGGGTTATTAATGTTACATATCCAGGACATAACGCAAAGAATCTGTTCTGTTCTGAGCAGGGAGCTCTCCTGTGAGCCTCTGGGGTTCTTTCTCCTCCTTATGCTCCTGTGGGAAGGGTTTAGAGAAAATTCCTGTCGTAGGCTTTTATGCCACTTGTCAGCTGGCTTCCGCACAGATGAATGTAGCTCGGGCCCCAGGAGAGCTTCAGAAGAAAAGCGAAAGAAGGTCCCTGTCTGCAGCTTCATGGTGGTTCTCATACCAGCAGCATCCGTCTCCCCCTGGGAGATTGCTAGAAATGCAGACTCACAGGCTCACGCCAGACCCCCGAATCAGAATTTCTTCTAGATCTGTGGCTTGTAAACTCTAGCGAGCCCCATAATCACCTTTGGAACTTGTTAAAACAGCTCCCTGGGCCCCCACGCCAGAAGTTCTGATTCAGTAAAGGTGCACTGACTCTGACTGCAGGCAGGGACCACACACAGAAAACCACTGCTTTAGGGCTAACTTGTTGTCATATTTGGTTGCACACTGGAATCATGCAGGGAGCTCCCCGGTAGCCTGATGTTGAGTCCCACCCCTGGGGATTGAGTGCATGAATATTGAGATTTAAAGAAAAAAGCACTCCCATGCCATGCTAATATGCAGCCAGGTTTGAGAAGCCCAGCCTATATATGTTTCATGCTCAGAACTTCTACCCAGACGGGGGGCGCCTGGGTGGCTTAGTCGGTTGAGCGTCCAACTTTCGCTTGGGTCATGATCTCGCGGTTCGTGGGTTCGAGCCCCGCGTCGGGCTCTGTGCTGACTGCCAGCTCAGAGCCTGGAGCCTGTTTCAGAGTCTGTCACTCCCTCTCTCTCTGATTCTCCCTTGCTCACGCTGTCTCTCTCTCTCCTAGAAATAAATAAAACATTAAAAAAAAAAAAAAAAAGAACTTCTACCCAGACGGAAGAAAAAGTGGAAGCAAGCAGCATCCTCAGGACTCTGGATGGTGCTAGACTATATCTCTGGGGCGCAGATGAACACAGCAGTTTTACAGAGCTTCTCCACCATCCTCCACACATAACCCCGCTCCCCTCCCCCCCATTGCCAAAGCCTTGGGACCAACTTTATTAACTCTTCCTTTATGCTGCAAATCCGTGATATCCGTGCTATGGATCAGGCCTTTCTCTAGTTGCTGGAGACCCATTATTGAACAAAGTTACAGAGTTTATTTTATATTTTACTTTCACTCCTACTGTTAAATTCAAACTAATTGCTCAGTGGTGTTAAAGGAAAACTAGAGCTGGACAGTAATTAAAGTGGTAAAGATAGATTTTATTCAGGAAAAAAGAAACACTACCGTAGTAGACGGAAAGAGACCTTGGTAATGAACTGGGTTCAGTCTGTAATTCAACAAGGAAAAGTGGGATTTATGGCCAAGGAGCACGGTGGAGTCCCTGGGCAGCAAAGAGGGGGAAGGGGGGAATTAAACCCACCTCACCGGGCTCTTGCTGAAGGCCAGCCCGGTGCTCATAAGGCACCAGGCAGGTGTGGGTGTGGGGGGGGGGGGTGGCGGCTGAGGAACGAGGTCCAATCTGCAGGGTGACCCGGCATGGAGCGCAGGGGCCTCTGGCTAAACTAACTCAGCAGAATTCTTGCTAAGACTGGAGAAAGCAGTGGTGAAGGAGGAAGGACCCCCAGCCAGGGTCTAGCTGAGAAGACAGTTCAGGGGAGCCTGACCGGAGTTGGGTCAAGGAGAGAATATAGAGAAATATGTAAAATACTTACATCCTATATAGATGCACACACAGTCATACACACACAGTGTCTTTTGACCAACTGCTTATCTCCTCTCAGCCCACTGCCCTTAGCAGAGAATTTTGATTTTGCTCAGTTAACTCCCTCGGATCTTCCCATGAACCTGACACCAGGTAAAATTTGGAATGGTGCGTGTGCGCGCGCACGGGCGAGGGATGGAAGTGCCCAGCCTGTTATTTGCCAGCTGCCGTTCCCACCCGGGTGGAGAGGCAGCATTGAAACTTTCAAGGGACGGCGTCTGCTCGGGCCCTCTCCTCCCTTCCCTGCATCTTGCCGGCTTCCTCCTTCCCACTCAGTTCCCACCCGTAACTTCAAAACCTTCCTTCTCAAGCTTCTCTCTCCGTGCACAATCCTACCCTCTTTTCACACCCGCCGGCTCTCGGAAACCTTTCTGCTCCTCCGGGAACGCCTGGAGGATCCCAGACCTCCTGCCCAGAAGTGGTTGACAATGTAGTGTTTTCATTCGAATGCAAATTTGTCTCTGGACAAGATTCAAGGAAAGTGCTTCCCCTCCAACCCTTTCTCCAGCTCCGCCCGGCCCTTGTTGTCTTTTGTGTTCTCCTAAATAAATGAGAGGCGACTGGATTTCAATGTGAAGACACAGCTGCAGGGGGCTCTTAAAAGCCAGCTAGAGAGAGACGGACAGAGAGAGAGGAGAGATGCTGAAAGATTTGTTAAAATCTAGAAAAGGGAGGCTTTTTTAGTGTTTCATTTGCAATTGCTCTGATTCCTCTAGAAATCCTCCCCTCCCCCCCATATTGAAAGACCAAGTGTATTTATTTCGACTTCATATTTTCCCCTCCTCCTAACTTTTCTGGTCCAAAAGAAGAATCCACACGACAATAGCAACAGAATACACTCTGGGAAGTAGGCTTATTCTTGATGTCCTCCGGATGAGTATGCAACTTGGCCCATGTGGGGGCAGAAACGGCGTCCAGTGGAGCGACGGTGGGGGCGGCGGGGCGTTGCGGGCCTTGACTTCTGGCTTCAGAAGGAACGGGTGGTGACCGCATGCAGGCATAGGTCACCATGACCCTGTCGGGAGGCCTTTTAAAATCTTCCTGTGCCTCTTGTGGGGATGAGCACTGGGTGTTATGTGGAAACTAATTTGACAATAAACTATTTGTAAAAAAACAAAAAACAAAAAACAAAAACATTAGCTAACAACAACAAAAACAAAAAAATCTTTATGTGCCCGATGCGATGCCTCTGCTCTTCCAGAGGCATCTTACATATGTAAGCAGACACTGCCCCAGTCTCCAGACGCGATTCCCATCTCACTGTCGGCCGGCCTTGGCTGGCGGGTCGCCCCCTGTGTCGGCAAGGACCGTGCCCGAGAAGATGGGGGGCAGACGGGGGCCTCTGCGTCCAGATCCCGCGCGCAGGGCAGCGAGCCGCCCTCCCTCGCCCGGGACCCCAGGCCGCGCCAGGCAGGGGGGCCGAGGGAGCGGGTGGGGGGGGTGGCCCCCGGCCGAGGCGGGGGGGGGCCGAGGGAGCGGGGGGGGG